CACTACCTTCACTTGCAAATCTCACTACCTTCACCTGAACACATACCTTGTACAACGGTGCTTTGTACAAGTACCTGTATAACATACCTGTATCTATGTAGACACCTTTCAGCAAAACATCTCTTTTGATGGACAGATTTCTTATCTGATTGAGGTCCTTCATGCGATGTTTAAATGTCAGTAAATGCCTGTTGTCAACATCCACACTGAATTCAGAGCTGGTGCACAAAATCTTGATCTGGAAAACAGTAGTTTGTTAAAGTATAAGGATCTTTATGAGGTCCTCATTTCAGTTTTTCAGTCTCATAACTGAAAATCATTTTGCAAAACACTAAAGCGCTTCAATGATCATGCAGCCAGTGGCGGAACACCACAACTTTTAGGTAATTTTATCCAAATTTACTTTATATTTGTTGTGTTTATGAAAGGAGACAGATGTTAGTGCAGCTAGCCTGGTTTAGCAAACGACTGAGGATGAACACTGAAGCAAAAAAGGCATAGTTAGCAAAATCAGCTAGTTTTAGCGAATTAGTGTAATGGTCCAGCCTGTGCCACCGGCCGCCAGCAGAGGGCAACAGCAGCGAGGTGCCACCAGTTCAGGGAAATCCAATTCCAAGAAGACCTCGGGCTGATTAGGTCCAACCCGGCACACCTGTGGACGCCTCTGCTTAAGGCCGTGGCTAACAGCAGCCTTTGTCACACTTTGTAGAGGGGTGACCAGTATGGTACTTAGCCCAGGTGGGTATTTAAACAAAAAGGAAAGGAAAGAGAAAAGAAAAGAAAAGAAAAGGAAAGATGGCTGGGGAAAAAAAGAGAAATTGCCCCAAAACAATAAGAGAGAACAATAAAAAGAGGGCTGAAAAGAATATATTGCCCTAAAACTACATAAAAGCCAAAAAGAAGCCTTGAACAAGAAACGACTCCAAGCCAAAAAAGGTGTTTGTTCCTCAAAGACAAACAGGTGAAACATAAAGCTGATCTTCCTCTCTTAATGTGAGGAATGTGTTTTGTTTTTGGAATATCTTTTCTTTCACTTTTCTAGCTCAGCTGATGTATAAACACGCTGCTTTCAGCGTCCTCTTTGTCTGCCTTTTCCCGCCATTTTTTCATTCCCATTCATTGCCGTGTGTTTCCCGTTTTCCCGCCCTCAGTGAACCGACACATCAAGTGTTCCACATCAACAGAGCAGGACTGTCTGTTCACAACACTCACCTCAAAAGGTTCTCCAGGTGTGAAAGGGAAGAAGGGAAGTTTTCTTTCCTCGGGTTCCCCAATCAGCTCCACTCTTGCTGTTCCTCACGACCACCTGCTTCCCTTCCTCATTGAAGCGAGGGTTGAAGTGGAAGGTGATGTCGCTTCCTTTAAAGAACTTGATGTCGATTCTAATGAGAGAAGAAGAGTTTAACTTTTATTAACCATTTTATTTTAGATTTGCAATTTTTCCTGTATTATTATTGAACTCGTACCTCTCAGCATTGTGTTTGACCTGTTCATGGATGGTGATGAGTGTCTGGATCTTCAGTCCTTCAGGCAGAACTTGGTCATATGGAACCTCTTGGCTGAAGTATCCTAGAAAGGAAAGCAGGAGAGTGAAGGGATGAAATGGATGAATGATTTAGTGAACCTAACGAGTCCTACATGCATCAGTCTCAGCAAACCTGTCGAGTTAATGACACTGAGCTTTCTTTTAACACTTCTTTAATAACGATACAGTCCTACAAGAATTCACCTGGACTGTACCCTGACTGCCCCGCGACCCAGAAGGATAAGCAGCTTAGAAAGTGTGTGTGTGTGTGTGTGTGTGTGTGTGTGTGTGTGTGTGTGTGTGTGTGTGTCCTGACTGGGTTATTCTGCACCAGCTGTCTCAGGATCTGGCAGGATTTCTATGAAAAACACTCAAACTCTTGCACAATTTCAATACTGTAATTAAATCAAGTGTTTAAGTTATGAATTTTTCAAATTTGCCCCATCAGATTTTCAACTGCATCTGAATTCTGCTTACTGAATGATTTGAAATGAACTGATCTCATTTTTAATCATTTTTCAAATTATTTGAGGTTTGGGAAGCAGCTTATAAAACTACAATAAACTCCAATTTTCATTATGTTTTAAATGTGTATACTTAAATTCTATTTGTTTGCTGAATTTTACATCTTGGAAAAAAACATAAAATGTTACCTGTGATTATGTTTCATATATACTACATTAAACCTGTATTTACCAAAAATTGACTGTGAAAATTGACTAAAAGTTTCAAAATTTTAATGCTAATAAAAAAAACACATTTATGTAAAAACAAATTTGAATACTTTATATTAGGCGTTTATGATTTAACCCTTTTTTGAACATATTTGACATAGTAAAATGATAAGTATATAAATGCTTTATTGTGACAAACCTTAATTCTGGGAATTATCAGATAACATTAAAGAGAAAGAAGTACAGAGACAACAACTGTCAGAAGCTTTTAGTGTTCAGATTTCTACAAAATGATAATAGTTTATGTTCAAATATGACACTGAACTTCCATTTCAGAAAACAAGAGAGAGAATATGAGAGTAATGCTTTTACACGTACAATAATATATCATATTTATCCATAATGATGGATAAACAGCAACTTGTAACACACTGATGTTACACCCAGACTCCAGCTGCCCCGTTCTCTGAGGTTCGTAAGCATCCATGTACTGTACATCTGTCCAATCATCTACTCACGCTGATATGAAAGAGGTGCATAAAGATCTCCTTGCTGAAGAAGAGAAGCTCATCTAAACAGACCAGACTCCGTTTACATTCACAAACAGCTCTGTAGCATTTACACTGTATTCAAAGCTTGTTTGGAGTATCTACCTCAGCACTGCCAATGGCAGGACAGTATAATAAAATAAACACATTTGGAAGCTCCATTCAGCAACTCCAAGATCACTGGAAGTGATTTAATGGCTCAGAAACTGACAATGTGAAACGTCCTCATTTGTTTCTGTTGATTTACCGTTTAAACCAATAAAAGACCACATATTTACATGGACACTGTTCTTATGTCATAGAATAAAGCCCAGTATTGCAGCAGTTTAATGTAGCCGACACGCCCAGCTCAGCACTGCGTGATAAAAGAAACAAATGTAGAGGTTTTATTATACTGGAAATGATTTTATGGCTCATTATTTTTATTGGGTCTTGATTATAACGTACTAAACCACCCAGGATCTGTTCATCGTTTTACCTAAATACACAGAACATCAACAGAACACAACACACAGTAAACCCATCAGATTCTGCTCCACGTAGCCTTCAGCTCATCAGGTAATGTCAAGTAAGGAAGATTTACGAATTCCAAAAGTATTTTGTATTGTTTAGTGTCATTAAAGTGGAGCTGCCGCAAATAGAAATGAAACCATTTATAAACAGGAACAGAAACCAGTTATAAATGAGGAAAAATGTAGTATTGATAAGGTCTGAAGTAAACCAGCACTGCAGGAACTGGATTTTATATTAAAATCATACAATTACAGCGCTGTAAAAGTCTGAAACTACCTTTTAATTCTTTTCCAGTCAAAAGACATGTTATTGGGTCATTCTACAGGAGCGTCCACTTTTGTGTCCCTAGTGTTTAGATATAAAACACATTTTTCTGCAATTTTATCCAAATAATCTATACATGACTATGGAATATATGAAAATGGCAACTCCTCACCAACTACTATCAATCCCAATGGATTGTGTGGACAAGGACAGAGGGCAGCATTACAACATGCACGACTGTTACATCTCAGAGACATGAAGCACAGCACCGCCACCGGACGTCCAGCTGACCATTCAGATTCTGACTCCTGGCAGTAATATGGTTTCTCCACAGTGTTCTGTCTTCTGTTTGGGTCTTCAGGCTTCTGACTGGCTGGTTCATGATTCCTCTGATGGTCTCCATCCACCTTGTAGCTGGTCGCCTTCCAAGCATTATGGTCTTTTCCAAAGAACCAGTTCCTCACAGAAAATGTTGGAAACGAGAGCTTTAGTTTGGGTGTCTGGGCTCTGAGTTAAAGGTGAGGCCTGATTTGCTCCAGGATCTGTTTGTTTGTTTTCTTTGTTGTCCAAGTTTCTCTCAAAAATTTAAGTTCAAAGGCATTTATATTTTGCTGTCTAGCATGTTTATCGTCCAGCTTTCACATTCATAAATAAGAAGAGAAGACCACAGTCTGGACACCTCTGATATTCGTTTGTAGAACCTCTGATATTCGTTTGTAGAAACAAATCGTTGCGATTGAACATCTTCACGCCTCAAGGTCTTTCATCCTCGTTGTGCTGAGTGCTGAACTGCGTGACCGTTTGATCTTTTGCTGTTAAGAAATGACCCGAGTAGGTAAAGCCGTCCACCGTGTCCACGTCTTCTCCAAGTAAGTGGTGTCGTCATAACCTCACTTTTTCATTTTGGACTGAAGGGCCTTCAGGACATTTTCCACTATGAGTGCTTTATCATTCGCACATTAAAGGTTATTGATGGTCCTTCCACCAATCTTATACTTTCAGCCTTCTAACAGAAACGGAGCAGCCGGTCAGTATACAGTCGGGCTTCTAAGAGAAACGGAGCAGCCGGTCTGCACACGGTCAGTCTTCTAAGCTGAACTACTCACTGATGATGGCATCACAGCTCGATGACGTCATGCTAGCTAGTCCCGCTATGTGTATCATGTTTGTAGCTTAAACAGTTCAGTTAATTTAATAAACAATGTACAGAATATTTTAAATATCTTTACAGAATAAATGCAACATTTTTTTTTGTTATGAAACTTTATTTCATGCTGTATCTCAGTTCCTGCTTAGCCACTCAGTCAGTATCCCATGCTCAGCCTGTATTTAGTAACTGTATGTAAAAGCTTTATTGTGTATATGTTGTAGAATGAAGTATTGAATTCTAGAAGTAATATTTCATCATCCAAGCAGAGACAGATGAGTAATCAGAATATGAATCATATCACAGTTTTACTACGAAAAAATGATCAGGTTTAATTAGTGATGAATAAACAGACGGAATCCAGAAATGCAGAAAAGTGTCGGCTGTTCGGCGCCAAAATAAAAGTCCTGCAAAACACAGAGAAAATAAAGTCAGAAGGAAAACTGGGTGTATGAATAAAAATCAGACAGACGTCCTGTGCTGGGCTAATGTAGGCTGGATTAGTTTACACCTGATCATTTCACTCCAAATGAACATCTCACTCCATTCACCTGAGCACCTCACTCCATTCACCTGAGCACCTCACTCCATTCACCTGAGCACCTCACTCCATTCACCTGAGCACCTCACTCCATTCACCTGAACACCTCACTCCATTCACCTGATCATCTCACTCCATTCACCTGATCATCTCACTCCAACTGAACATTTCACTCCAACTGAATATCTCCTCCATTCACCTGAACGCCTCACTCCATTCAGCTGATCATCTCACTCCATTCACCTGATCATCTCACTCCAACTGAACATTTCACTCCAACTGAATGTCTCCTCCATTCACCTGAACACCTCACTCCATTCACCTGATCATCACACTCGATTCACCTGAATGTCTCACTCCAGTCACCTGAACACCGCACTGCATTCACTTGATCATCTCACTTCATTCACCTGATCATCTCACTCCAACTGAACATTTCACTCCAACTGAACATCTCACTCCATTCAGCTGAACGTCTCACTCCATTCACCTGAACATCTCACTCCAAGTGAACATCTCACTCTGTTCACCTGAACATCTCACTCCATTCACCTGATCATCTCACTCCAATTGTACATCTCACTCCAGTCACTGGAACGTCTAAATCCATTCACTTGAACGCCTCACTCCATTCACCTGAATGTCTCACTCCAACTGCACATCTCACTCCAATCACCTGAACATCTCACTCCGATCACCTGAACATCTCACTCCAGTCACCTGATCATCTCACTCCAACTGAACATTTCACTCCAACTGAACATCTCAATCAAGTCACCTGAACATCTCACTCCAGTCACCTGAACATCTCACTCCATTCACCTGAACATCTCATTCCATCCACCTGAACATCTCAATCTAGTCACCTGAACATCTCACTCCAGTCACCTGGACACCTCATTCCATTCACCTGAACGCCTCACTGCATTCACCTGATCATCTCACTCCAACTGAACATTTCACTCCAATTGAACATCTCACTCCATTCACCTGAATGTCTCACTGCATTCCCCTGATCATCTCACTCAATTCACCTGAACGCCTCACTCTATTCACCTGAACATTTCACTCCAACTGAACATCTCACTCCAGTCACCTGAACATCTCAATCCATTCACCTGAATGTCTCACTCCATTCACCTGAACACCTCATTCCATTCACCTGAATGCCTCACTCCATTCACCTGAATGCCTCACTCCAGTCACCTGAACATCTTACTCCAGTCACCTGAACATCTCACTCCAACTGAATGTCTCACTCCAACTGAACATCTCACTCTAGTCACCTGAACATCACACTCCAGCCACCTGAACATCTCACTCCATTTAACATCTCACTCCCCCTGGAGTTCAGTGTCACTCCGCCTCTCATTTATCTGAACACATTAGAACAGAACACCTACATGGCTCCACCCTGACGGACGCAGCAATGACATCCTGCAAGATTGTGACCTTGTTTATCTTGGTGATGTCAGGCTGTCGACATTTGAAGTCCAGCAGGTGGGAACCGTTAACATCCACTTTGAACTCTTCGTTAGTGCAAACGATCTTCACCTGCAAAATCACACACTTATCAGTAAAACCCAGAAGAGACCGATGTGACAATGGCCCTGCACGAGACCATTAAATGACCATTTTTCAGTAAATCACATGTTGAGGAAAAATATTTGCTACAATAATTTTGTAAAATTGATTTTCTATAAAGGTTGCAGCCCCGATATGAATGTTTCTTTGTTCTTAGAAAGTTAGAAAGTTTCTCCATGTACAGTAAAACCCTCTGTGCCATGAAAACCTGAAGACTGTAATGATGGCCACTGTCCTGTGACCTCTGCTCTGGGGGATGTGTAAAGGGAAAGTTTCCAAATTCATCATAATGTATTAAACTCTGAAATCTTCCTCTCTGAGCTCATAAAAGCCTCCCTACAATGTGCTGATTCTCCTGTTATTACAGTTGTGCTGCTGGTCAGGCGTAACATGTGGTTTGTGATGAAACAAACTGAGAGTCAAATTTCAACACTCACCACAAAAGGTTTTCCCTGAGCAAACGGGAAGTGAAGAGTATCTGCTTCCTCAGCACCCCACTCACAGCCAATCAAACTGTTTCTTTTAATCATGTGACGCCCATCGTTCCCAAAACAGGGTTGAAAACGGAAGACTATATCATTGTCTTTCATCAGATCGATTGTGAACCTGAAAGAACGGAAACCTTCTGTTTTTTTACCCCAGCAAACATCAGGAGCGCAGTTTAAATGCTTATGTGTGATTTTTCTTACACTTTAGCGTTCGGCTTGACGTGTCCATGGATGGTGAGGGACATGTTCTCGTAGATTACGTCATCCAACCAGCGCGTACACACTGGAGACATCCAGAGAGGCTCTGGAAAAGAAGCTTCTCAGTAGGAGAGGTTTTACACACATTTACATACAGACCTCAGTTCTAAAGTTGTGACAGGAGCTAATTGAGACGAGGTGTGTTGTTAAATGTTCAGAAAACAAGGGGTGATGTCATAATACTTGGGTGTAAAAGGAGCATCCAGGAAGGGCAGAGTCTGTTACGAGCAAGTAGGGGTCAAAAAAATAACACACAAAAAATCCAACTGTTTAAGAAAAACGTTCCTCAACCTGCACCTGAAAGGATTTTAGCTGTTCAGCTACTCTACAGTGCAATGTATCATAAACGATTCAGGGAATGTGTAGAAATCTGTATCTGTAAAAGAAAAGGCCGGAAACCAAAACTGAATGCCAGTGACCTTCAACTACAGGTCTGCACAAGGTGGGTTCACCTGGTGGTCCCGCAAGATCTCTTAAACAATTTGCGGGCAGGATTCATTTTGAGGCACCACGGCCATTGCAGGTAAACAGCCAACAGGTCGCAGCTTGTGCCCGGGGGGGTGGGGGGGGCGGGTTGAGTATTATGGCTTGGTGGGTCAGACATGGACCTTTTATTGGCTGATGGGCAGGCAGCAAATGAGCTACAGAGAATCACAAGCAGCAAAACACACGACGTTACAGAACATCCAGTAAATAACTTACTGATTTTTTTCATGACAGTCATTTTTGGCTTTGCCTCAGAAAGTTTTGACTTTAATTTCCACTGACTTAAACATGTTGTAGAGGAATTAGCTAATAATGTAATGAATGGATAAAAATGATGTTGACAAAAATGTTGACAGTGACATCACGTGATGCAAAGACTATAGACATAGCCCAAAGTAGGTGGGTGCAGGTGGGCATGATATGTAGTTGAAGTGTGGGTACAGGCAAAAATGATGTTAGGTTTTGTGGGTGGACGTGAACAAAAACAATACCAGACTTTGTGGGTACAGGCAGATGTCAACAGTGGTTGAATCAGGTAGGTGCAGGCATTAATAATCAGGCTGGTGCAGGCGTCTTCCTTCTACCCCTCAGACAGCACTGCATTAAAAATGGGCCTGTTTCTGTGATGGAGATCACCATATGGGCTCGAGAATACACAATGCCACTAAACACCACCTGTCGCTCCATCCACAAATGCAGGTTAAGACTGTACTCAGCACAGCGGAAGTCAAATAACAACGTCCAGAAACACCGTCAACTTCTCTGGGCTCTGAAATGGACTGATGCTCAGTGGAAACGTTTATTGTGGTCTGACCAGTCAAACGTTCAGGAAACCTGCACATCTGTGAAAGCACCATTAACTCTAAACACATTTTGGAGCAAAATATGCTGCCTTTAGGTGGCGTCTTTTTCAGGAATGTCCATGTTTACTTCAACATGACACACCAAGAAACATTCTGCATGTGTTACAGCAGCATGCAAAAAAAATATATATTTTCAAAACTGGATCAGTTTGTGTCCCCAAACGATTATTGGGTGCTGTTAAAATAGAAGGTGGGGGTCTTAGTGGGTTATAGTTGAAGTTGAAAGCAGTAAATAAACATTATATTAATGCTAAATGCTAAAAGAACGTCAGTGGGTCTAGTCTAAAAAAACACAGGCAAAGCTGTGAATGAACATCATTTTAAAGTAATACAAAATATTAAATTCCCCATCTCCCCAACCCCCCTCCCCAAAATGTAGCCAGTCAGCAAAGACATGTTTGGTGTCTGAAGTTCACTTCTTTAGTTTTAACACTGGAGCTACGAGGCTAATGTGGCTAACAAGTCATGGAACCTTATACTCCACCAACTAGAGCAATACTACAGTTATAGTTACATAACGTGCTGAATTGTGAGCTGGTCACTGGGTTTGGTGACGACCTCACATGGTTTGTAAACACCTACATTCAGATGTAGAATTTGTTCTGAGAATCTCATCATAGAGAAGGCGCTGTGTACAAGTACATACCTGGATCTATGTGGACAGACTTCAGGAAAACATCATGGATGGACAGTTTTCTTATCTGAGCGAGGTCCGTAATGCGGTGTCTGTATGTCAGCAAGTGATTGTTGTCAACGTCCACACTGTATTCAGAGCTGGTGCACAAAATCTTGATCTGAAAAACATTTAATCAGTTAACTCTGAAGATCTGTGTGAGGATCCACAGTTCAGCTCCTCACTCTCATAACAACAGATATTACATGTTATAACAAGTCATGGCAGATTCTGAATAATTAATGATTCCATGTTTTGACTTAAAAAAGTAAGTAACCTGGTTACCTTAAACATTTCAGCTCATTGAACTTCTAATAGTAAGTTAACAAAACAGTAATGTGTTACATTCTGTTTACTTATTATTTGAAGTTCAATCAACTCAAAGTTTTAAGGTAACCAGGTTAAAAATGGAATCATTTTTACTGTGTAATAGATACTGAATAATTCACAGTAGACTGTAATAGCCTAGACTGTGGCTGGAAAACCTGCTAGGCCTCTCTCAGCCACCAGAGGGAGGCAAAGAGCTGCTCAGTGATCAAGGACGACCTGCAGGGCCTGTGCCTGCCCTACTGACGGTGAGCTCTCTCAGTTCTTCATGCTCAGTCTTGGATTCTCTTTGACACCAGGTCGGCCGGTAATCTGGTGATGGCTTCTGAGGGTCCTCTCAGGCCTCCTGCTGTCTCAAGACCCCTCAAGCATGTCTCTTGGGGTGTCTCTGCCTCTAAACACTCACCTCAAAAGGTTTTCCAGGTGTGAAAGGGAAGAATGGAAGTTCCCTTTCCTCGGTTCCCCACGTATCTCCAATCCTGGTGTTCCTCACAACCACCTGCTTCCCTTCCTCATTGAAGCGAGGGTTGAAGTGGAAGGCGATGTCGCCGTCTTTCCAGAGGTTGATGTGGAATCTAATGGGAGAGACGACAACATGCTTTTGGGAGGCTGTTTCACTTTTATCAGCCATTTTTCTTGTGGTTTTATTGAACTCGTACCTCTCAGCATTGTGTTTGATCTGTCCACGGATGGTGATGAGTATTTGGTTCTTCAGTCCTTCAAGCAGAACCTGCTCATATGGAACTTCTGGGCTGAAGTATCCTAGAAAGGAAAGCAGGAGAGTGAAGGGATGAAATGGATGAATGATTTAGTGAACCTAACGAGTCCTACATGCATCATTCTTAGCAAACCTGTCGAGTTAATGACACTGAGCTTTCTTTTAACACTTCCTTTATAAAGATACAGTCCTACAAGAATTCACATGGACTGTAATCTCTTCTTAGTCCTCTGATTTGACCCCTGAGTGACCCTGACTGGGTTATTCTGCACCAGTTCACCCAAGATCTGGCAGGATTTCCACGAAAAACATTCAAACACTGTTTAACTGAGGCAGCCGTGCAAAATGTCAGTGCTGTGATAAAATCAGCTTTCAGTCATGATTTTTTAAAGTTTGCACCATCAGGTTCTGAACTGCATCTGCAGAACGTTTGAACTGATCTCACTTTTCAAATGATTTAAAAATAAATCAGGTTTTTGTGCAAAAATGTAGTTTGAATAGGCTTCACTACTAAAAATGCATTTTGTTGACCTGTTTGATCTGCAGTTCTACTTCCTGAAAAGAACAGTTATAAGTCATTAATATGCACAGATGCTGTATTTCAGTTCATGGATTATTTTCAGCAGAAGATGTTTGACTATCAAGCTCATTATAAATGACCTTAAACTGGTGAATGTCCTAAAGTTTTCAGGGCTCCTGCCACTAGAGGGGGCGCTAGAGGCCGAGTGTTGTGTTCAGAAACAGAACAGCAATTTAGATGATTCACTGGAGCTTTGCCTGATATTTAAATGAGCATTTCGCTTAGCATGATCCAATTTGATTGATCATCATTTAAATGCTAAAGTAAATAATCTAAATGTTTGATATTTTAGTTTCAGTATGGAATGTGACTCATTCTTAAACTGACTATGGTCACACTTTATGTGGATGGTCCCCTATAGACGCTCTACAGCTACTTAAATCATTAACAAACTTTCTGGTGATCCTCAGTTGATTATCAACAACATTATGGGTAGTGTTAGGGTTAGGAGTAGATGTGGGTTTATCCTTGAGGTTAAGCTGAGGGTTAGGTTTAGGGTTTAGGGATAGATTTAATAAACTCTTTCACATGACTTTAATGGGTATTTAGTTGAATGTTATTGAAGGCAGACTGAGCATTTACAAAGCATCTATAGTGAACCATCTAAGTTACATTCAACTTCAAGCTCAGTGGCATTTAATGACTGTTCAGTTGAATGTTACTTATTTAAATATAAATATTAATAAATATAAATATTAATATTAAATATTTAATAAATTTACAAAGAATCTACAGTGGACCATCCAAATAAAGTGTTACCCTGATTATTATTAAATATCTGTTTGTCAGGGTGTGATTGATCATCAGATCAGAAGATGAAAGATTCCAGTGTCAGTGCTGAAGTAAGAGATCTGAATGTCTGATGTTTGTATAGAGGTAAACACACTGAATGACCTGAATGACCCTGTAATTATTTTTTAAAATTATCTAGGTCCTTTTTGAAGGTTCCTCTTACAAAAAGTTAAAAAGAAAATAGCATATCTTCATTTTTACACATTTTGAGATAAATGTTCATGTCCAGTAATCTGGACGTTTGGACTCAGTAAATGATGCTCTGATTAGTATAAAAGACGTCTGCATTATAAAATACAACCATTCAGGACTTTTACTTTGTTAAAAGTCAAATCTAATGTGTGTTTAGGAGTGACAGTAGATGATCTATGATTTTAGTACTGTTTTAACTGGCTTCAGTGGATTTCACTGTCCAGTATACTGACCGTTGGCTTTTGAAAAAGGTTTTGAAAAATGAACATATTTATTATCATCGATAAAACAAACCCAAACAAGAACTGAACATTTCCTGCATTTTAGAAATGATGTATAATAATAATAAATATGTGTATTTTAAATGTCCAGTACGCTGGACACTGAGTATTATATGTTTAATAGCCAATAAAATAATCAGTGTATTACGTTATTTAATATGCAGCAGAGAGCGTATTTCATAACGGGGCATCATTCGTTCTTTATTAGTGTCCAGTCTCTGGACTGAGGAGGACGATGTAAAAGCACTGTTACCTTTAATTCCAGACAAGCTTTGGGCCAGAAGGTTCTGGTTCATCATCTTCAGAATGATCTCACAAATCTCCACAGCATCTTTCTCTCCGTAGACCTGCACCATCTGACCCACCGTCACCTTCACCACGGCGTGGTCCAGCGTGGACTTGGACACAGCAGGAGAGTCGTCCCTCACGCCCTGGACCAGGTGTGTCTGGAACTTCACCACATCTTCAGAGTTCAGGTTTTCCAGGACTTTCAGCAGAACATCAGGGACTTTGGAATCTGGGGCCATTTGGAATCTGCATGAAAGGAAATGCATAAAATGCAGTTTAGTGAAGTTACTCTGCTTTCAGGAGACACTGGCTGCCAAACTGTGAGCATCACAGCACCCCCTACAGGACAGGAGTGGATTTCTTAAGAGCACAACCAGGAATCACCAAACATTCCTTATATTTGGACCTGCAGTCTTCTGCTTATCACTGGGCTCCTGACCACACCATGCTTAATTCTTCACCATATTAATATTAAATCTCTATTCTGAGTTCAGAATTATCATCTCTACTCCACTGAAACTCCTCCTCCTGAGTTATTCCACACCGACTCACCAGGGACCTGCCAGGTCACGTCATGGATTTCCATACAAACAATCAGGAAATCTACTGCCTACATTTGGGGATTTGGAGCCCTCTCTGGTGAAACTGTGTAAGTGCAAGGACTCTTTCTGTCCATCAGTCTGCTGCACATCACCAAGTGGTGAATCTGGGAACTTGGGTGGGTCTTTCTAGGTGCCTCCATGTCCAACAAGGGATTTACACTGGTAGGAGATAGTAGCTGTAGGAGTCTAACCCAAGGACTCTCAATGATGATGATAACACGAGTCTTCTGAGTTTATATGGAATGTTGATGATGGAAAATAGTGGAAAATCTGAAATAATACGTTTTCTTTGGGGACTATTTTGCCTCACAGCGCCCTGCATGTATCCCTCCACCATGAATGGAGTTTAAGTTCTCTAAACTATCATAAAACAGTGTCTCAGTCATCAGGCAGTGAATTCATAACCATTTCATGTAGGAACTTTCTGTGAGGAGCTTTTAGAGGTGGACGTCTGGTTCCTGTCACCACCACTGTGAACAGTTCTGACTCGGTAAGTTTATCTAGAACAGAGCGTTTCACACCAAACCGCTCTGAATGACTCTGTTTACATCTTAACCACTTAACCGATTATGTACCACAGCACCTGATCAATGAATATTCACTTTAATATAATTATTTTACCTTGCATTGCATATAGATTTATTAATCATTATAATATAATGATTAATAAGAGAACACACTCTAACCAAAGAACCACAACCAGCAACATAAAACAGGAACATAAACAGTCCCCTTTCACGTCCCATGAGCCTCTGTGAATGATGTTTTATTAGCAAAGCTGCTACAGTCATTAGAGTCAGCCGCCTCAATGTGAATAGAGTCATATTTACACATGAACACACCTGCATTCACTCTTACTGTCTGGGTCACATTAAAATACTGTAGCGTTTTATTACTGCACCAACCTGTCTTACCTGAATGTCTTCCCTCGGTGAGCAGTGCACGCTGGGTATGAATGCAGCAGTGGGGTAGTCCCAGTACAGGTTCTCTCTCCACCTGCATATATATAAGAACTCCTGATATCTGGACCATTTACATCTGCTTACTTAACAAAATGCCCACAAACATGCCAGGCTTGGTTAGAGGTCTGTACGCTGCCCTGAATGCAAAGACGCATGTGGTTTAATCACAGTGTAACCGGCTGATCAGCCGGACATCAGAAATATTAGGCACATTTGCATCCTGTGCGCTGGGTTGATACTGCAGTGAAGACGACAGCTGAGACAGATCTGGATGCAAATACTGCGACACTTTTTTATAATTATCATGATGTGACAGCAGCTGGGGACGCAAAGAAGAGCCGAGAGCATCAACAGGTCCTCAGTGTGGGACACAAATCAAACAAGACAAGAGGAAAACAAACAAGGAACTGCTGAGGAGCAGCGAAGGGGGACTTTTACACAGACAGAGGCTGACCGAGGCATTCAAATGTGTAGGAAATGGGACTCATTCTGAAATGTTTAATGAGCTGAAATAACAGACAGAATCATTCGCAGAGAACAGACAGAGCACCTTTCAGACACAGTGGCAGTTAAAAGAGCGTCACACAAACAGAAAGAGAACAGCATTAGATAATAACGCAGTTTAGAACGTTCCTGAGATCCAGCACCTCAGAAAGGCCTTCACAGGGTCGAGTCATTCGCAGCAGCCTCAGTGAGGAAGAGCGTCACCGCTGAACAGCAGCCGTACCTGATGATCAGTCCTCGGATAGCCAGGCTAGCAAAACATACCCTGCACTTCATTTAGAGAACAAAGGAAAAGAACAGGAGGAACATTCTTACACTAACAGAGAGATATTTACCCCAATCACACACTCACTGACCGTATATATGAGATAATGATATATACACGCATTGACTGTATGTGTTATCTATCATACATACACTCGTTGACTATATATATCATATATACACTCACTGACTGTATACATGAGATATATGGTCTATGCTTATTGACTGTATATGTTATATATCACATATATACTCATTGACTGTATATATGAGATATATGGTATGTATGATATATACACTCATTGACTGTATATATGATAGATATGATATATACCCTCACTGGGTAAACTGAACCTGAGGAATATTGTTTAATTAGCCCAACAATCATGAATAATATCACAGAATTGTTTTGTAGATTTTCATGAGAAGAATTATTGTTATGGTGATTATTTTTCTGCAGAAACAAAAAGTACAAAATTAGACCTTTTTAAGACGTTTAGATGTGATTTAAAACGCGCTTCTTTAGCTGTAGGTTCTGTAGTATAAGAGATAAAAGGTTATTTATAGGATTATATCGTTATTTATGAAGATAAAAACTAGAAAATGACTTTTTCAGTAGTGAAATATTCTCCTTTTAGCCCTTCACCTCTAATTCTAGAGTATAATAACCACTGTACATACTGTAATAATCTTACTGTGTATAACACTTTTTTCTGAAAGGTGTTGACTGTGAATTAAGAACAGAGCTAATTAAGATCATAACCGTAATAAAAAACCCTGTATGATTTTTTTTTAAATCGTATATGTTAATAAATACTGTGTAATATCAGAAAACAAGGTACTGAACTGTCACAGAGGTGGAACCCTCAAGGTCCGTCTACTGTACCTTCAGTTATGGATCATAATTGTACGTATTCCAGAGTTATTGTATGTTTTAATCCAGCCCTGCTGTTCTGACTCCAGGGCTTTTATTTTATTGTTCTGTTTAAATATTAGGTTATAAACAGTGACAGAGACATTCGTCTCCCCTGAGAGAGACTTAGTTAAAGATCACAGTTCGACCTTGAAGCTGTTGATGGACCTTTGAGGGAACATTTACACTGTTTGTACCTTCATGAACAAAACTGTTCCTCTAATTCTGACGGTGTTTGAATCAAAAACAAACCATTATGATCCAGAATATCAGACTCAGTGATGACAGTTAGAGCTGCATCACTGCAGTTCATCACTCTGAAGCGCTTTTTCAGAAGCACACGTGACTCTAAACGAACAGGACTTCTGTGGCAGGAGGAGGAGACACGTCTCGTTAAAGAGTCTCGTTAAAGAGTCTTGTTAAAGAGTCTTGTTAAAGAGTCTCGTTAAAGAGTCTCGTCAAAGACTCTCCTACTGCTACTGCTACTGAGAGCTGATTGGTTAGCATTACTGCTACTGAGAGCTGATTGGTTAGCATTACTGCCACTGAGAGCTGATTGGTTAGCATTACTGCTACTGAGCACTGATTGGTTAGCTTTACTGCTACCGAGTGCTGATTGGTTAGCGTTACTGCTACTGAGCGCTGATTGGTTAGCGTTACTGATACTGAGAGCAGAAAAGGGTTCTGCTAATGTTACAAGCTTAACATCATCACAATGGAAGGACCCTTTTTGGTGCTATTTAGAACCATTTTCAAAAACATTCTGTGTAGAACCATATAAAACACATTCTCCATCTATCTGAAGAACCATTTCACCATGCAAAGAACCACTGTTCTATATTGAACTCATGGCTCCAAATGGAACTATTTTCTTTACTAAAGAACCTTTGAAAAAAGTGTAGCACTTCCAGTTTGTTGTTAACCTGTGTTTTGAATGCAGACAGCAGGGGGCGCTCTGTCCACTTTGCTCTGTATGTATGTTAGTATGCTGAGCGCTGCTGGGGTGAATCAGTGCTGCTATGCTGTTACTGATTAGCCATAAATCACTTGGTCTCTTAATAAAGCTGTGGCTAGTTCAGGTCCAGAGAGAAAAATCCACCCCAGGGTTTGGTTCCAGCTGCCTGCACAGCTTGTTTGCTCTGACTAGGGAAGGCAGTGTGGTGAAACTAAATCCTGGGGTGGAGTTTTTTGACCCACTGCTGCTTTAATCCTGCTGCAGCGCTCTATCAGAACCCTGATAGTCCTGATTGGACGCAGCTGTTCCAGACTGAAGCAGACGCTCACCGAGGCCGAATGCCGCTCGCCCCCTCCCCCCGGCCCCCCTGCTGTGTCCATTGTGTTCAGTGTGTTGATGAGTGTCAGTCTGAGCACGTGCTGGGTCTGTGTGTGTCTAATTGAGTGGACATATGGCTGAGGGGCGGGTCAGAACCCCACTGATAATAGATCTGATTCACAGACAGGGCCTGAGGGCTGACCCGAGGACTTCACTGTCTAAACACAGACTCCTCAGTCA